TAATTTGGACTCACTGGAGCATAAAGCGCTTTCAGTAGAAGGAATGACGAAATGAACTGGGATCCCTCAGCATGGAAGAGAGGGCTGGGGAAAAGATATGCTGGAGATCTATAAAGTCATAAATGTCATGGAGAGGATGGATAGTGGTGGTTCTCCCACCCCCATCCCATTTTTCCTTCCCATAGAAGAACTGTGTGACTTCAAAATCTGATGGGAGAAGGCAGGTTCAAAAGAATGCAAGAAGGTGATTTGTTGAACTGTGGGTTTTATGCTCTGGAATTTCTTGCTGCTAAGTGCTGTGGACATTAAAAGTTTACAAGTTGTGAAGGACAGGCAGATAGGCTCATGGAGGAGAAAGCTGTGGATGGTTACTAACTCCAGAGGATCAATTTGACTCTGGAAGTCTTGGCGTTGCGAACTTTTGGACCTTGAAAGTGTATTCTCAGGAAACTTTAACTGTGTGCTTGTTCCAGTCTTGCATTCTTCCCTCGACATCTACTTTGGGCTGCTTTTGGAGACATGATACTGCTTTGGCAAGATGGATATGGCGCAGTGTTATTTTCTTATTAGAACTTTGCAACAAAATGATTAAGATTTTTAAGCATCATCAAGCATATTTATTTTTCTAAACCGCCTTAATCATTTTATCTCAGTTCTTCTTTATAACTGAAGTCCAACAAGCTCCTTCTGGCTTACTGTTAGGGAAACCCTCAGGTCCAAACCTGAAGTTTTGTGAATATATAAGGTTTTTCTTCTGTTGACAGTGTAAAGGATTGACAGTTTTAGATCTGTGTTGCTACTGCCCTTTTTATAGCAATAAAAACCATAGGGCATGGACTTGCGACTTCTTTTGCATAGGGTGGTCATATAGCATGTGTTATATAGTTAGCATACAGTAGCATAGGCTAAAGAGTATAAAAATGTAGTACAGTTCTGTAAGATTCACATTGGTCTATGTGTATTGCTAATTCTAAGCACTGCTGATCTATTGATGTTTTGAAGAATGATAAAGTAGATATCAAGTCTGTAGAAGCAACTAGCCACCAATATGAAGGATAAAATTAGGTAGAAAAAACTTGTATCTGCTTAAACATGTAGTGTGTTACTGGAGAATCACCATTTAAATGACATTGTTGCCTGATGGTACATAAAACAAATACTTGAGTGTTTTTTCTCTGCGTATGTCCATTGTAAGGCTGAGCATATGTCCATTTGAAGAACTTTTGTCTGCCATATCATTTTGATCCGTGCACATTTCTCAGCACTTTTCTCATGCCCTGTACCACAAATATTTAAAAAAAAAAAAAAAGATGCTGAGCAAACTACAGTCCATCTCTTTGACTTTCTGATGTTGTGCGCTCTAGTTCACCTCTTTAGCATAATTCTAGTTGTTCTGGCTTTAGTTCACTTCTATTTTGAACCTAAGATAGGTTTAAAGTGCTAAGGGTGAATACAAACTTTTCATCTTTCTTCCTCTCAGTTCCGTCAGTAAGAAACATTACTGTATCTGTTTGTTCAGGCTTTCAAAACTGCTTTGTCAGTTACTCTAATAAATCTCATTTGCCTAGTGTCGTTTCCACAACTTTTCCAAATATCTGTCAGTTTGTCCCTTAAACTTATCTCTCCGGTCAGACTACTTGGCTTGTAATGGATAACACTCTGGCCCAGAAAGATTGTTTCTTTAGATGTTCAGTCCCTCACAGATAACAGAAGAAAGAAATCTGTAAGAAAAGTTTATGTATCTAAATAGTACCATTTGTTTTCTCAGCAAGCAGGTACAGGATTGTTGAACTATTGACCTATTGAAACTTTCAGGTCTTTTGCTTCCTTCAAGAAAGGTAAGAGACTTGGAAGTGGTCCTGAGAAAACATTGCTCTGGACATGATTTTTCTGAAACCGTAACTGAATTATCTGTACAAGATAGTTCCTGATTTATAGGTTAATCACAGTGCATTAATGTGTCTCTGGAACACATTCTAATCATGGAGAGACCAGATTACTTACTAAGATCTCATTTCAAGGATAGTGCTGAACAGTTACTCATTTGCTTTGCAGTGAGTATGAACGGTAGTGCTAACTTCTTTAAAATTTTAAAAGCGTACATCTTGGTAAATGTAATCTATTTAGCTGTGAATTTTGAATAATAGTGTTATATAACCATGGTCTGTGCAGCTTTAATGACCTCTTCAAAAAACAAAATCTTGACACCCACGAAGCAGCAAAGTGTTGGTGGAGGAAGAGATTGATGTCATCATAGTGTCACACTTTTAAATGTATGTGTTACCAAACAGCACCAAAATTAATCACAGATATTAATACAGTGCACGGTATTAGTCACATACCTTCCTTTATCTCTGCTTTAGTCCTTTCCTGCGAACCAGGTCTGTACAACTTGCACAGTCCTTGAGTGGTGGTGAGTGGGTACATCTGGCATTGCCCTATCTTTTATTCCTTCTGATTGGTAGCACTTCTCTGTGTCTTCTGTGAAGGTACTGGAGCAAGTCTGTCTCATGGATTTAGCTGGCATCCATGGGCTCTAGAAGATAATTGTTACAGACCTCGTACCCCCCATTTAGTGGAAACAACGGTCACAGTATCTCTAGCATCACTTATCTTGCAGCTTTGATGTGAGGCAAGTCCCATCCCAGGTTTGTCTAAAATGGAGATCCACTTGGAAGTGAGAGGTTAGGAGGGAGGAAAAAGACATGCATTCAAAGCCTAAGGACCAGGAGATTTAATGTTATCCTGTTCCCCCCCAGCCTTGATGTTGCAGAGGATTAAAATAGTATTATCCATTATGTCTAGATAATGGATATACGTCTAGATAAAGCAGTCTCTACTAAAAACAATTTGAAAGACCAGGCAATTCATACACCGTTTGTAGTCCATCTGCTGTGGAATTTAGGGAGAGCCTAGCCCTTGAAGTAAGGCTCCTTACTTACTGGTATAGTGACTGGCATTCTTCCAGAAGGCATGCATATTTTGTGTGATGAGGAAATAAAGGGAATAGTAGTTAGTTCCAAAACAAAACAGTGCTTAAACTGAGGCAGCACACGAGGGTAGCTGGAGCGTGCGTGTGGACAATGTGAATTCCACAGGCAAAGTTTCGCAGTGGCTCTTAGAGCACGTGCTCCAATCTACAGGGAAGTACATATAGAGATAAAATATTTTGAAGAACTTTGAGAAGATAAGACACTTCCTTTGCAACGCTTTCTTTGCATATACTCGTTTGACCTGACAAAATCAATTTATTTTAGGAAGCTGAAGACAGAGTCCAGCAAAAGGCTAAAAGATGATTAAGGGACTGGAGCATCTCTCCTATGAAGAAAGGCTGAGAGAGCTGGGACTCTTTGGCTGAGGGAAGACTGAGGGGGCGATCTGATCAATGTGGACAAGTATCTGAAGGGAGGTGTCAGGAGGATGAGGCCAGACTTTTCAGTGGTGCCCAGCAAGAGGACAAGAAGCAACAGGCACAAACTGAAACACAGGAAGTTCCATGTGAACATGAGGAAAAACTTCTTCGCTGTGAGGGTGACAGAGCACTGGCACAGGTTGCCCAGAGAGGTTGTGGAGTCTCCTTCGCTGGAGATATTCAAAACCTGCCTGGATGTGATCGTGGGCAATGTGCTCTAGAGGACCCTGGTTGAGCAGGGGGGTTGGACTAGGTGATTTCTCCAGAGGTCTCTGCCAACCTCAACCATTTTGTGATTCTGTGAAAAGGAACTTTGACATGTCTGCAAAAATGCTATTGAGACTTCTTTTTCTAAAAAAAATAATAATAATAATACAGAAGCACGTTGTTTCTGGGTCTAAGGTTTTCTTAAGTAGATAGAAAAATAGGGGTATAAAATATATATATACAGATTACATTATACCACTGTCTGGCTATATTCATTTTATGAATTGATAAGAAAAAGGTTTTGGTGGTTTTCAAGATGAATGTATGATGTGAGGTCTTTACCAGAAAATAATTAACAGACAGTGGAAGACTGCTGAGGGAAGCTGTTAAGTCTGTCAGTGAGTATATATTTAGTGCCAAGACACGACTTTCTTTTCCTTGGTTGACATTTAAGCCTAATGAAATCTGTCCTGCCATGTTGCATGAGGATGAGCTGACTTTAGAGTTGGATTCTGGTAAAATAATTGCATTTGGTATTTTCCCCTCTTTTTCAATGCATTAAAAAAAGGTATTTAATTACCTGGTGAGTCTGTTAGCAAAATAATAATTTAATATAGTGATTTCAAGTGAAATTTTACGCTAATACTGAATTTAGTCCCTCCTTTTTCATTGGAGTTAATTCAAAGTTAGTATCTGTCTTTTAGAACTACATAATGAAGTAAAACATAAGAGGTGCTAAATTTTACTTAAACTTCCTTATCTTGGGGCATAAGTCCTACTTGCTGTTGCTTTGAGGCCTGTGTCTTTAAGACCTTTACTTGCCTGTCAAATGTGACTTGAACTTGGGCAGCAGGTTTCAAAGTTAAATAAGTTCTTGCAACCAGAACCAAAAACCACAGGTAGGGAAGAGAAATGTTACTGATCTGTCAGCCAGGAAAAGCATATAATACGCTCTCATCTTTGAACACCAAAGGGTCTAACAGATGCAGATCTGTAGGGTTCTAGGCTTCGCTGGCTCAGCTGCTCAGAGGGAGGTCTTACTTGCTTTGTATTTTGGAAAAAAATCTCTTTTCAAAGAGAGGACTTCTTTAAATAATATTATTGCTTATATGTATGTGTTTCGCAAACTTCAGATAAATCCTGCCACTTTGTTTTCTGATCTTTACTGCAGAACACCCAGCTTTAAAAGGCATTAAAAAGCCTTAACTAGGTCTCTGTGCTATAGAATACTATAGTTATGGAGGGATATCTTTCTACTGGTCCTCTCATTTACCAAATATAATCAAAATATTTCAGTGATAAATACATAGTTTTGTTCACACTAAGTTGTTTTTGTAGCAGAAATTCTAGCACAAACAGTGTTTGCAATTTTTGTCTCCAGAATGATCGAGGAGAGTGGGAAGAGGAGGAGGACAATGGCAGAGAAGAGACAGCTGTTCATGGAAATGAGTAAGTAAGAAATTTGAAGACATAACGTCACTTATTTACTGTGAGCTTCATCTTGACTATTTTAGTAAATCATTTACATCTTATTTACACAAGACCGTTGCCTCATCTAGTGACAAGCATCCTGGGTGCTCACTGAAGGATAGATCTTTGTTTATGGTTGGGAAGAGAATACAGATGGGTCATGACTGCCTACAAAGTCATATGTTTCCAGGTTTTGTAAAGCTCTTTTCCAGAGAACGTTCACATTTCTCATTTATGGTGATTTTTATGAAGTTGGTGAACAATTACTTCAAAAAGAAGAAAAGAAATGCAGGCCACTTAAATTTGTACCACAATGCTAGTGTGGCTGGGAAGAGAACTCTTGAGGGTTTCTTTTTTTTTTTTTCTTTTTTTCTTTTTTCCTTATGGGACCGTTCTCTGTAAGTGAGGCTGTAATTGTTACTACAGTAGAAATAACTATCTAGAGATGGTATAATTTAAAGGAATGGGACTTACCTTTTTAAAAGATACAATCTTTCACTACCAGCTGCTTATATCCTTGCACATCGTAATGTTACTTAACTTCCCTACTGGAACGGAGGACTAAATGAAACTTCCTAGGTTAGGCAAGCATGTCCTATAATACCATTTGTAGGCTAATGAATGTCTACCTTAATAAAAAAACATTTTCATGCAACCGTTTCATTGGAAGATTTCTGGATCATCATTCTTACAAGTATCTTAAAATTTCAAGAACAATTATATTCCTGGCTAATTTATATCTGCTTCTTCTCATTTGAAACCTATCTGTAGATAGTATTCTTCCCCAGCCTTCCCAGCTTGCTCCATTTCTGTGTCATATCCCCTTGTACCATATGTTGAAAAAGCCAAAAGCTAACTCCTGTTGTCTTCCTGATGTGCACCTCATCTCCTGTTCTCCTCCTCTGCCTTAGTTCTGTTTTGCTTGAGTAAAGTTGACTGGAATTATGCATTATGTACCAGATGAAATCTCATTAGGACCTGGTAAGATGGCGATAGCGCTTCCTTCAGAAAAGCTTTGACAGATGGATCAGAGTATTACAGTTGTCTTTTTCTAGGTGCATCACGTTAGTCTTGTAGTGATCTGATCAGTTAGGATGGTTTGGTGTGTGGTCCTTCTTAACTGTTTCTTACAGATAGTGATTTCTGCTAGAAGCTGGAATCTCATCAGAACTGAAGTATGACCGTACAGTTTTATTTGCTTAGTATTAAATTTCATGAAGATTCTGTTAATCCAGTCATCTGATTGTTACTTTGATATTCTAAGTACTTTGCATATTGATGATACCGTATAGTTACCTTAGCCAAAAAAAAATTATTCTTAGCACTCAAAGTTTAATCCTGGTATTCTCTTCAAAGAGCTTCAAAAACCTTATTTGAGTCTCTGACCCAAAGAAGAGGAAGTGGCTTCTGCTGTGTAGGCATTTGAAACAGCCTTTCTCTATATGCTTCTTTCTCATGTCAGATGAGAAATCTAAGGTCTAATCTAAGGTCTTCAAGCCTTGACTATCCTGTGATGGAGTATTTCCTTATAAAGGTGAATGCATAAATGTTTTCCTTTCTGTTCATATTGCAATGTGTAAAATTGCTTTCAGTTACCATTTGGTGTTGGTCAATATGCAAATTCACTTAAGAAGTATTTAGATTATTGCTTAACTGAGACAAGAGTAGATTTTTTGGGCATTATCTCAAATTGGACATGATACCTTTTGAACTTGATGGCCTTTCAGGCATGAGTTGACCCAAGGACGTTTTTGTTGCTTATATGGTACTTGTGGAATTGTCTAAAAGGCAAGAGTCCTGTGCAAGGTAATCTAGTTTCTCTGAACTGCAGAGGATACATATGGAGTTACAGATTGTCTTGAAAACACAAAACGCATTCATTTTATCTTCAGATGACTCAGAAGAATGACCCTCTTGAAGCTTTTGTGGCATGCGATGCAGGGAGACAGGAAGAGAAAACAGCCTTTTTTACTTATTACATGTAGCTGTTAAATGGCCTCATTGAGAGTTTCAAAAGAATATTATATAGGAAATATGAGTTATTTTATTCTAGCCCTGGATCCTGATACTGCTTATGCTACCTGGCCAGAAACAATGATAGGGACAAGTACTTTCCTGAAGTGTAGCAGAGACTGGTTTCCTGAAGATGCTAGGGTGGTATCTAGTACGTTGCATCATACTATCAAGCAGTATGCTCATCGGATGTTGGCTAGTCCAGTGCTGATCTTACATAAGCTGTCATGGGGAGTCTTGGATAGGAAGCTGGCCAGCATTCTCACTGATTTTGGTGGAGAGTCTTTATACCTAGTGTTCTGCATCAACGATGAAGAGAAATAATTTTTCTGGTATGGCACTTTGAAGACACAGTGCACAAGTCTGTATGAAAACCAGCTGAAGCTCTGGCGTTTACGCAAATGCTTTGGCATTATCTTTGTTAAACTGTAGTAAACTATCTAAAAGACAAGATTTTCCTTCTTTCAGATTTGCATCTGTGAGTCATCAGGTGCAAACAGAAAGGTAGTTCAAATGAGGAATTTGTAAGCCGTTGGTTTCTGAATTCAGAATGCTGTAGCAAGGAGTAATTTGCTGACCTTTGAACTCATGACCTGGATGTGACAGTCAGATGCGCTCTTCAGGAGGCTGGGTTGTGTGTGTGTGTGCGTGGGTTTTTGCTGTTGGGTTTTTTCCCTTTAACAGTAGCTTCTGGATGTCTGGATTCCACAAGTCACCTTTATCTCTTTTTCTCACTTCTCTATTCATCTAGGCTTTGAGTTATGAGAGAAGCGTGAAGGAATGCAGCAGATCCAGCTTTTATGCACTGCTGTGAAAATGCAAAAGGCACAGGATGCATGTGCAGCCTTGCCATTGTCCACATATAACTGGATTGCTGCAGTGTACATCTTAGAGCTACGTTTATTATAGGACATTGCTACTAATGCTGTTGAAATGGCAGCCATTTAAAAGGCATTTCTGTTTTTTGTGATTGATGAGGTCTTCTAAACTCAGATTTTTTGCTGCTTCCAAATTAAAAATGACAAGTACTGGACTTTAGACCAGCATCATTTATCATCCCAGCATCATTTATCATGTTATTTGATTGATACAGGAATACACAGATCAATTTGGTGTTTGGCAGAGGGTTAGCACAGCTTTCTGAAATTGCTTAGGTTTGGAATGTTAGAAGGAGTTGCAGTGGCGGGTGGAGCTGCTAGATGTGGTACAGACTAGTAGCAGATAATAGCTTTCAAGTCTTTCAAGATGCTGATAACATTGTATTGTTTGAAGGTATAATACTTCTAAACCCTTAAAAGTGGGAGGTTTCTGGTGAGGATAACATTTTTTGTTCTTCCGCACTCTCTGCTGCTGCTGCTTATCTGATTTGGATCTATCTGGTAGACCAAAAGTGTGCTGCAGGTGCAGGCGGCAGTTAAAATAGGAAAACCCCTTTTTGCTCTCTTGTGTGCATATCTTCCAACACCAGTGCAATCTTCTTCCTTGTCCACTCCCTATTTGAGCCATTTAAGGATTTAGGAGTTGTCATGTTGGTCTCAAACTCAAGTCATTTTTTAATATACTGTTAAAAATGACTATGAGATACCTAATGAAAATCTTTGTCATTTTCATATGATAATGATGATGTATATGAAGAGAAAAATCATGCCACTTTTTAAAGTAACTTCATCAAGTAAATTGAATGTTATGGACGAAAGAAAAATACAAGCTTTTTTTATTCATAGGGGCTCAGAACTTTGATGTCATCAGACTTTCAACGTATCGGACAGCCTGTAAACTGCGGTTTGTACAAAAAAGATGTAATCGTAAGTTGTAATTACTCTTTATCTTCATGAATTTCTCATGCATAATGGTTTGAAATATTCTACCCATGGGAATTTTAAGTACAGCAAGAGTAAACAAACACTTTATTAGACAATGTTAATAGTTGTTGCTTGAACCAAATAGAGATTAAATGTGTAATTAAAAGAGGCAGTGTGTATTTTTTTTATTTTTTGGTTAAGTACTCTGTAAAGAGCTTCAGTTTTATTCTCTAGTATTTCAAATATTTAAAATATATGGGTCAGCCTGACACATTTCAGTTGCTGTAAATTTGTTTGTCTACTCTTGGATGCAGACGGTTTCAAGCTATTTTATCTCCTGTTTCATTGTGGTGTACCACAAGCCAACTGACAGCTAGAGGCAAGTATGAGTATGGTGATACTTAAGATGAATACTAGCTTGAAAGTGTCTAAATTTGATCATGGTGGCACATCTCTATGTAATATAGCAACCTTAGAGAATTCTCTAAGTTTACACCGTACTAGTTCATGTATATTTTCTTTCTCTTCTGTGTTCCTTTGACCTTAAATAGCTCACCAAATCAAAGATTAATCCAAGGTTCATATATGCTAGTACTTTGCATTGTATTACCAGTATGACATTGGACAACCAAAAGCTTGACAGGTTTATGTATGTAGGAATAACTCTCCCTCCACCCAACAACTTAAGTGATATTAGTGTATTTCTGATATGGAAGAGGATAGGAAAACAGCTGAGTCCCACAGAGGATATGCACAGATGCATATTGCAAATCGTAGCTCCTACAGCACAGCTGACCTGGGGATATGCATATGCTTTTCTGTTAGAGCTGCAGTGCCTTTAGTTTGATGCATAGATTGCTTCTTTTTCATTTCTGCGCAAAACTGTTAGTTCTTGTCTGCTTTTATATTAAAAATCTCTCCTTAATCAGTAAAAACAAGGTATTAAGATATGCTAATTATGGTATGTTACACGCTTCAGGCCCAATTCATTGAAGCCATGCATATGCTTTGAGTAACCTTTACCCTGCACGTATGTGTAGATGAGACTGCATATTTACGATCTCTGTTTGGACCACACAGCAATCCAGGGGCATATGTTTGGTAGTTGTTTTTTGTCCTTGTATATTTTTATGTGAGAATTTTAAATATCAGACTGTTACTTGAAACCGTTTAATATGAGTTAAGGAAGATGATCAAAAAAATCTTGAAGTTAGCAAATAAATCTGTCCTTTATAACTGTTGTGTCACATTCAGTTTGGACTGATGGACTGTTGAACCTTAGACTTTTTTTTACGCTGTCATACATACCTTTCAAGCTTTAAAAAATTTTGAAACACTGTTTAATGTGTTTCTGCAGATCACTTATTATGGCTTTGGAAATCTTTCACTATACCATTAGCACTTGGAATTCTAAGGGCATGTTTGCAAAGTACTATACCTTGGACTTGGCAATGGGATCATTTGGAAACAGTGATAGTTTAACTAGAACCTAAAGCTCCTTATCCAGTACTGGAATACTACCAGTCAGCCTGTCCCTTGAGCATGTTCAAAATTGGTAATTGTAACCAATCTTTTAATGAATTTTGCATACAAATCATATTTTGTGAAATGAAAATATCCAAACTGGATAAAAGGCAGCGCATGATGAAGATAGCAAGGCTATATAAAGGACAATTGTGATCTATCAGAACATCCAGATGTTCAAGGTGGAATAAAAGCATGCAAAGACTCTGGCCAGTAAGGCTCTGTTAGTTTGCACCAGATGACATGAACTATGAGTTTGAGTGTCAAGAGTCTGTCTCTCACTTTGGATATGAATAAGTAATTGTTGGTTCCAAAATAAAAGTTATCATAGTATTCAAAAACAATACCATAAAAGTAAGCGTGTATGCATTACAGAATAGCACTTAATTTTTTTTTTCCTTTATTTTCAGTTCATCTTGTTGATATCTGGAATATGATCGAAGCCTTCAGAGATAATGGCCTTAACACTTTGGATCATAACACAGAGATCAACGTGTCTCGACTAGAAACAATCATTTCATCTATCTACTATCAGCTAAACAAACGCCTGCCTTCTACTCACCAAATCAGTGTAGAGCAATCCATCAGCCTTCTCCTCAACTTCATGATAGCAGCATATGACAGGCTAGTAACTCCTCTAGTTGTATTTAAACTGATTTTTTTTTAGTTAGAGGAATGTAGCCAACAGCTGCATGAATCTCTGGCAAACTGTGCACATGCTATTTCATGAAATTGAGAATATGTTGAGAATATGTTGCACGTTACATATTTAATACCATAGTAGTGCCTGCAGAGATTTATATTGCCACAGCAGCAATGTTCTGTCTTAAAAAATGCTTTCTTGAGAAAAATGAGTTAGTACCTTCTGGAGCTTGCAAATTGCTGTGAGCCCTGTATCCGAATTGAAGGCAGAGAACAGCTGTGTAGACAGTGACACAAAATAATGTTAACCTAATTGTGATATAGCATTGTTTTAAAAAGTTGAAATGTTTTGCTAGTCTTGGTCAACGAGACCATTTTATTAAGCTACCTTATTTTGAGAGCCAGCTCAGATCCTACTCTGACACATTGTGACCCCATAAAGGGGCTAGTTCTCACTTATTGGATTAAAGAAGTTTCATGACTTTTTGTTTAGAGTTATTCCTAGACCCTTTCTTTATGTCCCATTTTGTGTTCCGTTTACAGCACCTTTCATCAGGGGTTGATACCTTAATCTTCTTGGGGAGATGTTATCTTTGTAAGTTCTCTGAGTAGCAACTGCAAGTCTATAGCTGTTGTTTAGCACTTTTACTTTTGTTTTTTCTCATATCTTTCTTACAGTCAGATATTATCTCCTTCTTAGCTTTCTTCTGCTTTCGCCCTCTCTTCTAACAGCACAGAAATGCCTGTGGCCAGAAAGCTGTTACAGAGAATGAGGAGTTTGACCCAAGACAGCCTGCAGCACTCAATATCAAATAGTTATTTTGATTGTAGTCTCCAGGTTTTGATTCTTTCCTGACTTGACCCTCTTTTTCAGTTGACCAAAAGAGATGTTAGGTTTCCCAAGAGTCCAAGGTTTCAATGCAATCTGTTTCTTACTCAGGGCAGAGACTTAAAAAAAAAAAA